GATTTATACATTCATTCATTTTCGTTTCGACAAACACCGTGGCAACTGAATAAACTCGAAAATATCATCGACGTGCACAAACACTAAAACATATGCGAATCAGCCGGGCCATGAATTAAAATCGGAGTGTCTTAAATGATTATGAGGTAAAAAACTAATAAAGAGAGAGCTTTCTCCTGGGTATATTTACTTAGGTACTAATGGGAACATCAAAAACCATGGAGTTTTAAAAACTACTTAAATACAGATATATATGCGTTTCTTACAAAGATCGGACTTAGCAAAAAATAAAGGCCCCGTCCACACTTTGCCGGATAAATTTGAATCCGAATTTTTATTTATTCGGTTCCATTTCGAAAATTCGTTTTCGGTGAAGAATTGTTCCGGATTCGCCCGTACTAGTGTGGACGGTCGGCCTAACCGAATAGATAACAATTCGGATTCAAATTTATCCGGCATAGTGTGGACGGGGCCAAAGATGAAGTGTTTAAAGCTCTTCTAGTGGCTCAGGACTCAAATAAAAATAATAACAAACTGGTTTATTATAATTGTAATTGAGGTTAAACCGTTTTAATTACTAATCGGTTAAAAATGTATTGGAAACATTTTCAATTTGGGGTTTACGAAGCTCTTAGAGAGTGTCCTTATGAATACTTTGAAATAGTATTGGTTTGAAATATTATAAAATTATTTTTTATTATAAAATTATGAAGATTTTTAGTATATTCATATTCATAGTATATTATATAATTATTATTTTTTAAATAATTTGGAAATTAAAATAACTTTTGAATTTAAAGCATATTTTACTTATGTTAGCCAATAATTTTTCTTATTTTGTTTCATTATTTTGATGTTATTTTTGTTGTTTTTTTGTTGCTTTTGCTGTTTGTTTTTGTTCTTAATAATAATAATAATAATAATAATAATAATAATAATAATAATAATAATAATAATAATAGTTCGTGAGCATTATTAGAACTCAATGCTCTTACATAAGTGTCCTAAAAGTCAAAACCAATAAATAAAAATACACAATATCATTGAGATAGATGCCAATGAGATAGATAGATACGAAGAAAAAAATCAGGATGCGAACAAATAAGTTTTAAGCGCTGATTTAAACGAGCATATCGTACTAGCAGTCCTAACGTTGTATGGTAGCGAGTTTCATATCTTCTTGTTGAAGATAATGATGAAGTTTCCCAACTCGCCTTTTTTTAAATCTAATTTTTCAACCGCCTTTGGCAAGTTATGTTCAACTGACAGTTACATTTCATAAAAGAAGTAGCTCATCGAAGAAAGGCTTAGTAATGCCAACATGAAAAAAAAAACATTCTGAAGAGACATCTGTTTCTTGGATATATTATATTCATTTCATTCAAACCGGATTAGGTATTACGCATGCGCGAATATCGTCACAAGATTCTTGACCAGTCTTCCTCGGTTAAGGTGTTTAAAATCACATCCAGCTGATCTGAGAGAAAATGTTAGCCAATCAGAATTGAGACACTTTGCAAAACTGATGTATCGCTTTTCATCTTAAACATAAGAATTTCCAGGCCGCCAAATGAAAACAAAACCCGTTGCCAATAGGCTTTTGATAACAGTGACGTAATAATTAACGAGTTTTATATTTTCATTGCAATGGCAGGCATGCTTTTATTTTTCGGTTTTCCGGCAATTTTTCGCAAGCTTCATCGCACCTCAGTTTTAAAGTGACGTCATTCCTACGTCACTATTTCAGATCAGCTCGATGGAAATGGAAATTTTATACGTTGAAAACAAATTGAAAGACTTCGCTCCTCCATTTTTTTTTTTTTTTTTTGTTATCTTTTTTTTTTCTTTCTCTTGTATTATATATAGATATGACGGCATTGGTCGCAAACATAAATAAATAAACATACACATAAATAAGTGAATTAATTAATTTATAAATAGATAAATAAATGAAATAATAATAACATATATTTTATTGTCGTTAAAGAAAGGATATGACGTCATTTAATTATGCAAAGTTTCATAAAGGTACCAGGTTTACTTGGTCACGTGGCTTTAGGTTGAAAAAAACTTATATAAATTATCACAAATTGATTGAGGACATATACAATGAAATTTTTTCTTCCTTTATCACGTAAAATGTAAAAATCTTAAATCGTTTGAAACAACTTGCTATATAAATAAAGAGTTCAAAGCGTAGAAAGCCATTCACAAACAACTTGCAAAACCAAAGCTCAATATAATTTTATTTTGATTCGATTTTCTCAAGTTTATATTTCAAATGTTCTAATCCAAATTCAATTATATGTTGAGTAAATAACAAACACTATAATTGTATTTGGTAAATGTAGAACGCACTATTCTGTGATTATACGTCTGGGAATACCAGCCCTTTGGGATTTGTTCATTTGTACATCTTAAGCTTGAGTAAATATTGCAAACACATGGCTCTTTCACGAATCACAGCCGATTATTAACTCTAACCACCTACAAAACCTCTAGAAAATACACAATTATAACGTCAAAAAATTAAATAAATATTCTAAAATAATTAAAAATACAACCATAACAATGGAAAATTAGAGAAGTTCTTCGTCATTTTGTGCTATTTTGGGGCAAAAATCGATAAAAATAACCCCAAAAAGTTTTTGAAATTAAAATTTCATTGAGCGGTTTTGAAGAAGGATTTCTTTCGACTATTCTTTTTTCTTCATTCTCTTTTTTCATTTATTTCCTAGTGAAGAGTTTCAACAACGTGACAAATCACACTAAAAGTGTAAAGGCAGAAAGATGATAACAATTGATAACATCCCCTGAAATTTGAATTTTCTTTGCTTGTCCCTTTTCTTTGCTTTGTCGCCGGACTTTGTTACTAACTTATTAAAAGCCTAATTCTATTTATTATCAAATTTCTTTTTATGGCGTTGAATTAAGGTATAAAAATTTGGGAAATTGTTTCTTTTACCTTATCCAAAATTCATTTCTTACTAATATTTTTTTTTTTTTTTCGTTCACAAAAATCCACTTTAAAGGTTTTTAAAATAGCTTGCAACTTAGATGCCAAAGAACTTGAATTTGTTTAACTAATTTAACAACATAAATATATAAGAAAATTGAACGATAAATTTCACTCGATTTATGAACTGTTCAAAATTAGATTAGTAAAATCCAGGACCTGTTTTAAGAAAGGATAAAATTATCATGCGTGTCTATTTTTAAGCGCTAATTTGAACGGAGCTTTATGGAATTCAGTGGATGTAAGAAATTCGCTTCTCGATATTTGGATCAAAAATATAATTGGAACATATTTTTATGTGACAAGATTAACCAAGACAAAGTGTTTTGTGAAGTTAAATAACTAGAATACCTGTTGGAAGTACTTAAGAAATAATCGGGACAAAGCAAAACGGCTTAAGATGAATAAAAGTATAAGTTCAAATGGGTTTAAACTTGATTGAAGCTGCCCTGCGAGTAGAGTCGCCTGTAGAGGAGTTAATAGGAGACTCTGCTCGTAGGGTAGATTGAAGTATCCTAGGCAAAAAATATCGCTTGGAAAATTTAAGCCATTTGATCATTTTATTAGAAAATCTTAAAGCATGGAAAGTTAAATTAGTTTTTGTAGTCAAATACCTTAAATAATAGAGGATAATTTCTAGCATTTTTTCTTTACGAAGAAAGAATAGAAAGAGGAATAAAGACAAGGAGAATGAGGGATTTTTAGTAGAGAACTGTCTATTTTTTCGAGTAAAAGTTGAATGACAAACGTTAGCCGAAATAAGTAAAAAGCCATGTAAACAACTTTTGCCAGGGAAAAACTTCAACTGATCCTTATGTTTGGAGAGAAGTATTTTTATTATGTTTGCAGTCGGCCGACACTATCTCAAAGGAGCTTCCACAACCCGCTTAAATACAAACGCAGACCAGGGACAAAACATAAGGAATTAGAGAATTAAACTTACTGTAAAAGTCACTTAGTTTACATGCATGAAAGTACTTCATACCCTGATTTTCTTGTCTTTTCTTTCAAACTCGGTTTTTTAACGACAAAAGAAATGATTTTGTTTGTAATGTTTCTCCGAGGAGTTCTAATAAAGAAATTTTTTGCATTTTGCAATTCATGGAACCAAAAAAATGCATAGAGATAACGTGGACCCAAGCTATCGATTACGCGTTGATATTGAACGAGTACTTTTTCTAGAATGTATGAATATTCCCAACATACAATATAAGTTTTCTCTCCATTTGATGTCACTTCAACCACATGAATAAAGCGTTTTTACTATAAGCATGGGGAAAAAGACCTCGTGCTTCTCTTGAGTTCGAAGAAATTTTATATGGAAGTGTAGCGACAGTCTAAGAGCATACAAGGACTTTACTGACAATATTCGCTTATTCATTTTAGCTGTCCTTCAAATCTGAGAGCTCGGCCAAGTTTCGATCCACTTTTTATTTCAAGATTTTATTTTCTTCTTCGAAAGTTCTAATATGACCATTTTTCTAGTTATGGAAAGGATGTTGGACAGCGAAATGGGTTGCCGAAGATCGCCCAGCTTTGAGACAAAAAAAAACTAAAGTTCTCGACCAACGACTAGACTGTTGCAGTACGCGTAAATAAAATAACTGCTAAAGAAAAAAGCCGGTTATATAAAGTTGATTGAAGTCGAGTAAATAAATTTGAGGGATCCTCTTTTTTTCTAAAATTTCTTTCAAGAGGGTCAGCTTAAAGTGAAAATCGAGTTTATTTAATTTTAACATGTACTTGTAAAAACAACAATATGTCCAGAATGATACGCCTTCTCGTATAAAAACGACGCCATAATAAAACAGAAACAATTTTCTTCCATTTAAGGACTAAATGGAAAACTCGCAAGCAATTTTCGTGCCCCACCATTTTGAATTCTTTTCTTTATGAGAGAACGCGCTGAAGCAGGTGCTGAAGTTAGTAAGATCTCCCTGCCGTTGACGATGTTGAAAACTATCAGATGTTGATCCACTCTTACCTTTCAAATATCGAGTCCTCGAGTCTGGTGCAAGACAATTTCGGTCCACCTACAAGGTAGAACTGCAAATAAAAAGGTGAAGAAAAGAGCGACTTAGAAGAAGTAGTTGTTGATCGGCTTTTGGGAAAACGCACTAAGCGTGCTTGGCAGCTCTTGTAATTCGATCTTGCAAAATGCGAGAAGAGCCTCAATGGTAACACCACACCGCACTCCAAGACAGGCCGTCATCAGACAATGCGAACACTGGATGGTAATGAGGCTTACATACAAAATTGACATACAAATAATCTTCATTCAATGGATACCTAATACTTCAAAAAGAAAATACTAAAATGAAAAAAAAACCACGACCCCAGCTGCCAAATTTCGAAGCTCAGAATTATCGGAAACTGTTCGAAGCGTTACGTTAGGAATACCAGGGAAGAAAAATGTTTCCACAGAGAATAAGATTCGTAGACCATTTACAACGGTCACACGGAATGACAGAAAGTAAGAGGCTTTGACAGAACCTTAAACTTGAGGATTTAGGATCCGAAAATCAAGAGATCTGGCCTCATATCAACGGCTTTTCGCGTTGGTAAGAGATAGCAACACTAGACGTAGAGAACTCTGTGTCATTCCGATCCTAGATTTAGTTTTCAAACCAGCGACGTGCTTTCAACTCTCCTAAGTACTCCTGTCCGTGCCAAGATCGATGGTAATACTGGATCTCCCATTCAACTCCACTAAATGGTTAGTAAACTTGTCTAGTTTTAAATTTCGAAAGTTTTAAATATAAAAAACTAGGTTTTATAAAGTTAAATAACATGAAAAAATAGAAGGATCGCTTTGCCCAGCTCGATGAATTCGTTCCGAGATGAACGAGTAATTAAGTAATGAAACGACTCAAAATTTAAACTGTTCTAACTTATAAAACCAATTTAATCATCTTTCTGTGATGAAACCTTTTGGATGGACGAGTTAAGCGTTAGACGTTCCATGGAATTGTATTTTTAGTAAAGATTTATACGAGGACAAATAAACTACCGTGATGGTGTGTTCAGCGGAAAGGGAGTTTCCCAAACAATAGATTAAATGGAGGAAGCAAAGCATAGCGCAGTGATCAAATAAAACCAAAACGCTTAACTTGACTCTGAAATGGCTACAAAATCCCAGGAAAATATATAGAAAATTCCGATCGACCTTAAAAACATTCTATCTCAGATTTAATTATTTTAAATGAGAAAAGTATCAAAAAAATTTTTTTTTAAACTTTCCTTCAGAAATGGAATAACGAGTTCACCAATTAAGTTTATATTAGCGGCATTTCTGCAATTGTTTTTATAAATATGATAAAAAAATACTTCCAATTTTATTACCAAGTATCCAAATGCCCCAGTTTTTAAATAACTGCTTTATTTTCTCTTTAGTATTTATTCCATTCTCGTTGTGTCTATGCAGAATTCAAAGAATTGTTGGTGTCAAAACCCTTGTCGCCTCTGGGTGCGTTATGGGTACATTATAGAGACATTTACTGAGTTCACGCTCAGCCGTCTCAGTCACCCCAGCAGAAAATGACTCGCCAATAAATTAATTCCTAAGACGTAAAAAGCACTTAACGCCATAGAATTTCACTCTTATATCAACGGTTCGAAGTAAAATCGTATCTTAATATTCGAGCTCTAAGTCTAACATCTTCTATCGCCAGTGCGATTACTTTTCTGTCGATAAAGCGCGCGAAAAAATGTCTTTTTAGTGTAGTGAAGTGATATTGAAAGAGGCTCGCAAAGATTGGAAGGTAGATTGAGAGGCTTGTGGAGAAAGTGGTGACATATAGTGTCGAAAAGAAAAGGGCCATTCTTATCGAGGACTGATGTTTCATATTTCAAAGTGACTAGTCTCTATACATGTAGATTAAATAGACGAATTGCGAGAGAATTAACTCAATTTTTAACGCGTTTTTCTTGCGACAAAGAAAACTCGCGTATACGTTCATTTCTCGCTCTCTAAAGTAAAGGAATTACATTTTACATTTTTGCCATTGTCGTTTAGGAAGTTTGTCTCTAAAATGTCCGCCTATAGAATGAAAACAAAGAAAATCGTACAAAACTAATAATAATAATAATAATATTAAAGGAATTCAATGTCACGAAACTAAAATAACACTTAGTAAAAATGGTAAAAATTGGTTGAAGAAGCAATGGGAAAATAAGGAATATAATATACGTATATATATATATATATCTGATAGTTAACAAAGCCACCACAAAATGAAGTAAACATTCAATAGCTATAGTAGAGGGGAATAAAAATCTGGAGTTTTTTATTAACTGAATTTTAAAATATTTACCTATACTTCACCTTCAAAAATTATAAAAAAGTAGTAAAGAAATGAGTTAAAGTAGAGAGAAAAATATTTTTAAAATATTTACTTATACTTCACCTTCAAAAATTATAAAAAAGTAGTAAAGAAATGAGTTAAAGTAGAGAGAAAATGAGTTTAGAATCTCGAATATGTTTTCACAAGTCTCGCGTATAAGCTTCAGTGTGTTAAAGATGTTATATTCGTAAATTCGTTTTAACGTAAGCGTGATTTGCACGAAAAGTGTCTGGCCACATTTGGTATTTTAGTGAAGCTCAATTACATCATATTATTTCCTTAAGACCCCCTGGGTTTAATCTGTCTCGACTTTCCTTCATCAATGATGGAAAAGAAGTTTGAATTTCATTTACCTGGAATATTTTTGACTTGAAGTAAAAAAGATTAACAAATTCGAAACAACCGATATATTGTTAACTTGTTGAGTCTAGCGTTTTACAAGCGCATGATGTTTGAAGCCGGACTTTATAAAAAAAAATATAAAAAAACTACTAGAATAGCAAGAACAACTGAATTTTTTTCATAAATTATAAATTAAATAAGTATGCGAGGGATAATGTTGCAAACGTTTCGAGAGAATGGGATTGGAAAATCAAAAAAAGCATCGAATTATTCAAGGTTTGATTTTTTTCGAGAGGTAAAAGATTTGATAGATTTTAAAAAGGCCCTTTCAAAGTCGTACTGCGATAGAACATTGACTTAGTGGTCCTTAAACACTTTGCCCCAAGTTTACAGAGCTAATGGGGTCCAAAAGTGAGTGGAAACAGGCTCTCAAGCAATAGTTGATTCGCGCGCGGTATTTAGGGCGGATGAGAGTAAATAAATGAGAAAGAATATACAGAGCTAAGATAGGAATTATTACATCAATTTAGAGGAGCTGGATACAAGGCTGAAACTCTATCTGTTTACAAAATGTAAAGCCGCAAAAATGGATCTGAGAAGTAACTTGAGAGTCATTCATTTACTCTGCGGTCGCATTTGAAGAAAAAAGTTACAAGCAGGAAAAACAATGAAGTACAAACCTTAGAATTGTTTTCGAGTTAGTCGTTAAAGACAAGTTTACACGGTTTGGAAGTCGCCTCGAGTATTTTGTTTTATCCAGCTTGTTAGGTTTAGGAACTTTTGTTTAAAAATACCAAAATTTAAATATTTATAGCGAGATTTGTATCTCATGATTTAACCATTTTGGAATTGACACATGCCAGTCACATTTTTGGTATTTTAACACTGAAAGGGCTTTCTTGTTCGATCTAACACCCGAATGGAACATACATTCCAAAAAAAGGAAACCTTGAACTACCACATTGAAAAAGTAAAAATTATTTTAGTTTGCATGTTCGTTTTATTTATAAATTTACATGTTATTCCAAGATGCCGAAGGAGAGCAAGTGATCTGGAGAATAACAGTGAAAATTCGCCCTTGAAGAATTTCTTTTGTTTTCTTTTAAATTTCTTTTTATTTCTTAGAAAAAAAGGCCAGAAAATGCGAAGGTCAACATAGCTGGCCAAAATTAGCAGCTGTAAATACAAAACAGCATTAAAAGTTTTTGCGAAGACAAAGGCTTGAGTTGAATCAACAAAACGAACAGGGGGCTTAGTGTTGATTCCTGACAAACAAGCAAATCTACTTTCTCTTAAAAACTTATGGATTGTGTGCTCTTCTTTTATCTTTCAACAGGGCAAAACTTGAAATTTCAAGAACTGATGTCAACTTCAACCTCTTTTAAAGATGCTTTACAAATCAAGAAAAAGGTGTGAAAGATCTGGCGTTCTGATAGGTGGATATCTAAGGTGGCGATGAGATTTCTCGCCGATATTCCTACTAAATAACATCCAAGTGTTAAAGTTTTTTTCTGCATTTTTTTAAGAAAGCGTTGAATCTTTTACTATAGCTTCAAACACGCGGAGGTTTCTTTGTCAATTTAGTGTCAAAGTTATGGTCACTAAAAAGAGGTGTGAAAACCACTCCACTGAGTTTAAACTTTCTTTAGAATTCACTGCGAAAAACAACTTCTGTTCATTTACAAAAGACAAATAAACTTTAAAGAACACATTAAAAAATCTCACCTATAAGTAAAAGAGCCTTGTTGTTCATGCTAAGCTTTCATAAGATACTGCATTGATCTTATTTTGCTTTCAAATTTCGAAAATTTTAAGTAACAAGTTTACGAAAGGACACTTGTTTGGAAAATTATTATTTTTGCAGTTTCCCAAAAATAAAAAAATCAATTAAAAATAAAATAAAATAAAATAAAATAAAATAAAA